CCCAAGTTCCTGTAACGTATTCTATACCCAGTCACTTCGTACGCGGCGTAATATGGATGTGGGGGACTGAGAAGAAATTGTATCGATGTTGAACCTAAGCCCAGGGCTTCAAGAATTGTAGGAGGCATTGTTGGCGCTGAAATGATGGTAACAATAGAATAATACGTTCATGGTGGGTCCAGGATCACATGGCTATTGCTGTAATACGCACTTTTATCGGTTAGAAACCTCGTACCAACCCCTCAAACGATCAGATGCAAATTTAAACAAAATCACGACTTGGGCAATCCAACTTTCTTGTGTTTGAGGTCGACTACGCCTTTTTATTGGTTCCTTTCTGATATTTTCTTTTTTCGATTGACAGATTTATATATGATATCAAGACAACTTTCATCTGTTCCTATTACCTGGAAATGGTTGGGCTCGAGTGCCGTAGACCTCCACTCTCAAACATGGCGACCGATGCCGTGTTTCCGGTAGGAAACGAACAAACTGCGCCACGACACCGCTATTCAAGTTGTTCTTTGTCACTTGATAATGTTGGCCAGCCTTGTCAAATTTCTGCAAAGTGAAAAAAGGAAAGATGGCTCAAGTTTTTTTAAACTTTTTAAACTCGGCACCTTTTGAGTCTTCTCAAATGATTCAGCTAACAAAACTTCAGTGAAGAAATGGAAGATGCGCGTGGAATCTTTGCAAGAGTAGAGGAAATATGCATTCTGCATTCTTTCCAAATATGCATTCTGCATTCTTTCCAAAGAATTCCCCGGGGATTGTTTAGAAAGGCAACAGAGTGCCACAAGGGTAGCCTGTGAATTAGTCTGAGTGACAAAACTCTCCCGAGGGGAGGGGGAACACAACAGTCACAAGAGTGGTAGACAGCACTGGCCATATAGCCATTAGGCCTACGAATATTAATTTTCTGGCGTATTGAATCGATATAATTAGTAACCTTCACCGAGTGGTTATGTTGTCATTCCCGTTGTTATGAGTTGCTTGTCATTACCTGCTCGTATTCAGTCCAGTTCTTTCCATTTAATGATAACAAGATGGCGTAACGGGCCAAACGACCGAAACCTTGTTCAAAGTGACCTTGAGTTGCTACTGCGCAGATGTAATATGCACTTCCCAGGTCAACTTGTAGGAAGACTTTACTTAGATTCAGTGGGCACCAGCCCACGTGAGAGCCCAGCCGAGCGGCCGATGGAGGATTGGAGTCTAAATATGATGATGCTGTTATGTTTCTATCAGGAACAGTCCCTGCTTCCAGTCCAATTGGACTGTCTGAGCAATAAATGTTCGGGTGCAATCCTAGGAAATCAGTCAGAAAGTTCATCAAATTCTTTGTTTTTTTATCTTCTCTTTTGTTCAACGACCTCATCGCTTATAGAAATGCAGGAGGATAAAAGTTGGGCATTACTGAAGAAACTTTGTCCATCCTGGCGAGGCACGGGTTCGAATCCCGTCTAAGCCTGAATTTTTTGCGGGCTTCTTTTCTGCGATACTTTAGATTGCAGGACACCTGCAAGGATCATAGCTTTAGTTGAGCCACTGCTGGTAAATGCTAACCTTTGACTATTTTTAAAAGTCATACCTTTCCGTTTGCAGATGTAAGGAAGACGCTTCGAACATGTACCATTCCTCCACTTGCCGTTAAATCCGACATCCTTTATCGCACAAGCATCTCCATCGGAAGATGAACTGATTGAAATGTTATCCGCATCATTTTCTGGACCATCTTCCCAGTTTGTATAAGTAACCTCGTGTCCGCTACTCCAAACTGAAAACCTTTCATGTTCACCACCATTGTGTTTGATTCCGATATAGATCACTTCGATATTTGATGATGAGTTTATCATTTGTGAGTCAAGAAACTCTTCTTCCCCCGCGCTGAGTATATAGAGCAAGTTTGCATTATGATTCAGGCAGTCAATCTCGGCATCGGACCAACTTTTGAGATCATCTTTAAACAGAAGATAGCAATGTGATTCGAAAAGAGTCCAGCCTGGTAAACAGTCGCCTTGCAAAGAAAAAAGTAAAACAAATTTTTATTAGTTCTAAAATAAGGTTCAAGGCAGCTTTGAAAAGTTTTTGATCACTCCGTATTGAATACTAAGCCCCTTGTTTCCAACGTTTACCCTTTCGTCTTCATACTTTGAATGTAAATTCTTTCTGTCTGATAACCATGTACCGATGACCAACCTTTTACCAAAGTCACCTTTTTAAGTTCTTATACAGCATACCCACGGCGTTTGAAATGTGCCTTTCCAGGAAAAGTATCCCCATAAGTTCTATTTTATTTTCTATGAAATAACCGAGATGCTAAAAGCATCTGATTTGTCAAAAGTCCATCGTTCATTGCACTAGTAAACCCATTGGAAGTTATTCTATAAAAGGAAAATACCGCACTTTCTACCGGCTCACCTGCGTAATAACCAACTTGGGATACTGGGAGAACATTTTAATAGTTTGCACAACACGAGCCGGGGGAGAGTGATTTACAAAATTTACTATTGCCTCTCCCCAAACATCTCAAGAGACTTATTAAACCGGTAAACCGATCAGCAGAAAGAGTGGTCCGCTGCCTAATTAAAGTGTTTTCCAGGGCACTTCAGGCCTAACAACTAAAATTGTTATTTTAAAACCTTACAAAATTTCTCCAGATTGCACAAGAAGAAATATAATGTCCTTATTACCGATGAACTCGTTAAGGTAAAGACGCGATGGTAGCAGTCATTAACAGCTATTAAAAACTTTCCGTTATCACAATAAGCTTCCAAGCGTTACCTGAAGCCGTTTTTACCAGCGTGCAGTTTTTAATTTCACCATTACCATATTTGTTGTAAGCGAGGACACTAACGCAATAGGTTGTATTCATCTGCAGACTATCGACCTTAATATTTGTGATGTTGCTGTTAACTTTCAGTGTAACATTGCCCTCAGAAGATTTCCTTTGGTTTGTCACTAGCTGATAAGTAATTTGGTATCCCATTACTTCGGGAAATGACTGGTAGGAAAGCAGGCCGTCCCAAGTGACATTCCAGGAATGGAATCCAATGCTGAGGAATCTAATGTTTGTCACCGCCGCAGGTGGACCTTCTATTAACAATAACAATTTAGAAACTATAAGTGACGGTCGTATATAATAATTATTCGCCGAAGGCGAAGTAAATATTGTTGAATAATTGCTAAGGTGAAGTCGAGGGGACTGTCTTACAATGTTTACTGAGCCTGAGGTGAATTAAAATATTTGTACAGTTGCTCAGGTGTTCTCGGATTCTGTATTAAATTCTGTAAATAAAGGTAATTACTTCTATCAAGACAAGAGAAGAATTTTGGCTGGTAGAAAACATCAATTTTTTTTGGAAGTGTTCCGCCAAATTCAATAGCATCTTTTGTGCTCTTCGCAGTTGAATTTCCTTTTATCACGTTTACCACTTCCGCGCAAACATTGACAAAACGCGATGCAGCCATTTTGAAATTTA